ATCTGCTTTAAACATTTTTTTCAAGCAAACCGGTCAATTTATTCAAAAAAATAAAAAATAACTATAAGATTTAAACAAAAAGTTGATCTATACTGTCGTCTCATAAATTTTAAAATTTTTGTATTTATTTATTTACCAGTTAATTATTACCTGATTCATAACTGTATATTTTTGGGCAACGTTATATTCAGAGCTTGAAATTACTCAAACTTATAATCCCCTAATTTATTGATGTCAAAGTTTTTTGATCTCAGTGGGTCATTTGGCAGTACTAAGTCAAAAATTTTACAAGCGGTGTAAAATAAAAGCAAAAAATAAATAATTTTGCAACAACAAAAACAAAATGTCACCTTATTCTTAAATTTTTAAAAAGGTAAGTATGTAGTGGGCGGGTTATCAGAGTATCAAATTGCCCACATACAAAGCTTCTTTTTAATTTTATTTTCTACTTAATGTTTAAGAGTGCTTTTATCAACTAATTTCAGTAGATAAAGTAGTCTTTTATCGTCTAGTAAAATAAAGTAATTTTTATCTATTCTGATAGGTGAGTACACAATAAAACAAAATATTATACACGACGATAAAAAATGATTATCTACTCGGGAAAAAAGTCCACTCGTGACTTCGTCACTCGTAAACTTAACCTTTTCACTCGTAGATAAACAATTTCTTTATCGTCCTGTATAATAACTATTTATTCAAAAAAATAAAAAAATAATTTAAAATGTAAACAAAAAAGTTACTCTACACTGTCGTGTTTTATTAATTAAATAATTAATTAAATTTTTGTATTTATTTATTTGCCAGTGTCTTAATTATAACCTCATTCATAACTGTATATTTTTGGCCAACGTTATATTTATTTAGAGCTTAAAATTACCCAAACTCATAATCCACTAATTTGTCGATGTAAAAGTTTTTCGATCTCAAAACTTTTACAAAGTGGTGTCAAATAGAAGCAAAAAATTATAATTTTGCAACAACAAAAACAAAGTCACATTATTCCTAAATTTTTTAAAAAGTAAGGGAGTGGACAAGTTAGTAAAGTATCAAATTACCCACAAACAACACAAAATTCATGCGGTGCTTCTTTTTATTTTTTTATAGATCATAGTTTTTGATTTTTGATTAATTCTTAAAATCTGTGCCACTCTGTAAACAATAAACAGGAATTGTCATTTATACATATTTATATAAAATTGTAGTCGTCGTTCTAGAAGCTTTTGTGATATATTGTTCATAGTAATTTCTACAACGAAAGATTTTACTTTTATAGTTGAAAGGCGGGGGCTCCAAGACTCCCGACCCCGACTGGACTAAAGGCCGAGGAGGTCGCAGCACAGCCAGCAGCCGCCAAAACAGCCCCCCTCGTGAAACAGCCCCTATAATACAAGCGCCACGATCACGTAGAGGTTCTAGAGTAGCAAGACAACACAGTTACGATGACGAAGTTAAGAATAATCTCGCACCTACTACGATAGGAGACACCGGTCTGGGTYTACCTGCCCCCATGCCCAGAAGAGCTTCCGCTTACGACGTTTACGCAGTGCCCGGTTTAAGTACCGTAACGGCGCCTTCGGTTGCCGGAAGACGGCCGTCATTCAGAGTACCCGCAGCAGAAACCACCAGTCCCCCAAGTCCGGAAACAGCCCCCGTCACGTTAACAGCCCCAGAGGAAGATAGGCGGACCAGGAGGAGGGGATCGCAACTGTGAGTTGTTTGCTTTGTTCTCGATTATAAAATGCTGGAGATTTTTATTTACACTGAACAAAGCTTTGTCGCTACATGAATGTTTCTCTATGATACGTTTAGAATTTTAAAAACTTGAAAAATTTTGAGCTTTAAATATTTAGTWCAGTCGCTTTGCCTATCCAAAGACGTAAAGCGCTTTTACTCTTTTGTTAATTTTGTTTCTTGGAGAAAATACTTCAAACATGCATTTCTGTGATGTATTAAAAAGTAACACAAAAAACGAGTAGTCTAAACTGTGTTAAACATTTTTTCACATGTAGGTTTACACATTGCTTTGTCAAAAGTTTTTCAAAACAACACTTCGTGTGCTTTTACAACAAATAATTACATAAACAAATTACTGCGTGTGAGCATTGCAATATAAAAACTTATATTTTAATAGATCTTACCACACATGATGAAAAAGGTCAAAATATTTTTCTTCACATAATGTAAAATAATTAATACACAGACAATAAATTTTACAAGACGGTGTTTTATTCCAATGTTTTATGAAACCCAACAAATACAAAGAACTAAAAACATCAAACGCCTTTGTCTATCGATAGTATTTTTTTTGTGAGTTGAAATTAAGTTGGCAACATTAAATAAAATATATAGAAACAAAATTTATGAGACTCGTCAACATTTATATATTCTGTCTATATAGTGCAACAAGAAACGTGAAACAAATTTTTGCTATCCAAAAAGCCTTTGAACCAGTAATCAAAGTTTTTATTACTTCTTAGGTATTCAAGTACAAAATAATTAACCTTAATTAAATAACAATTTTTTAACCTTTAAAAGTTAAATATAATATAGTTATTTATTGTAAGAGTGTGTTAGATAGTGTTTTATCCGCAAGAATGTTTAACCGCGAGAACGTCAGTTCGAACGGTTAATTTTCTTAAGTAGATAAAACGCGACAACATACGACTGCAATATTACGTTTTATCCACAATCACAGGCCCAAATTATTCCAAACTTAATTAAAAATTAAACTGACATTTAAACRTCACGCCAAATGTACTTTCGGTTAAACGTAGTAAGCTGTTACGYGGTGCGCTGGTTACTAACAGTGGAATAAAGTTACTTTGTTCCACTAGTAGATAAAGTGGTACTTTATACGCATGTAAAGTGTGGAATAAAGTCAGAGTGATTGTGGATAAAAAGTATTTTTTTCTATAGCCGATGTTAAACTATATCTTTATCAACTCTTTTGACTAAATAAAGTAGCACTTTAACCATAAGGGTAGATAAAGTAGCACTTTAACCGTAAGGGTAAATGAAGTAACAATTTAACAGTGTAGATAAAATGTTTTAACTTATTTTATTCATTTCAATTTACAAATTTTATCATCCACGAGGTGGAATAAAGCGTCCGATTTAGACTCAAACGAGTTGAATACAACATTTCATTCTTCGAATTAGACTCAACAAGGCATAGACTTGCTTTAAATCTGTTAAAAATAATCCGACATTTGGTATTGAAAATTTTATTTTTTCTCTTAAACTTTAAATCCTGCTATAGAAAAAAATGTTGTATTATACACGACGATAAAGATTGTTTATCTACTCGTGAGATAAGTTCATTTTTTCACTCGTAGATAAACAATCTCTTTATCGTCTTGTATAATAAATAATTATTTTTTACTTATTAAACTTGTACAGATTTCGGTGTTAAGTTTGATATCAAATAATATTATGTATACAAAAAAAAAATAACCGCCTAAATAACCCCAACAGGATATTTAGAAATAAGACCCATTTAAATTTTAAATCAGAAATACATAATTATTAGTTATTACATAACTAAATTTTAACTTCGATATTTTTTATAAATAGACCTTATTGTCCAAACAAAACAATTAATCAGAAATAGAATTAAGAAGAACATAGAGTCTAAATTCATAATAAACCTTGCCTTAAAAATGCAAACATTAGTTTAAATATTTTGATATCTTTGTAGCTTTCTGTCTATTTTGAATCCTTCTAAAAAGGAAATATAATTTTTAGTATGGAATTAAATTTCCCTTATGATTTACAGTTTTCGATATTTATTGCAGCGGCGTTTTCTAACAAGATTTTATAAAGCTATCTTGGCGTAAGCCTTCAATCGGATTGCATTGAACTTAATTAACAAACGTTCCAAAAAAAACTCGAAAAAAATAATTTAATGACATTGTAAAAGTCCGCTGTCTGGTAATGAGTACATATCCACTCGGCGCCTCCACCAAAGTTGTTTTTAAATATTTTTAGCTACAAATGTCACAAAAAAGACCCTTTTATGACTTAAATAACACAAGTAAAAGTTTCACCTTTCAGACATGGAGTAAAAACTCTCTTTTTTCGCTTAAGCGTTTTTACTTTTACCATGACATTTACCAATGTTGTCTCTTTCATGTTTTTTATGCTGCWTTAGCAATTTCTGGAAAAGTACATTGTAAATCATCAACAATCAACATTCGACATTTTTTTTTTCTACTAACTGCACTGGTCATTTATTAGTTAAATCAAAAAAACTTTTCAAAAATTTATTTATTTATTTATTTAACATTATTGGTACTGACGCGTGACGTTTATTATGATCCTACTGCAAAGTGTTCTGATTATTTTGTTTATTTACTTGATTATTATAGTGTTGGTCTTTACTTTTAATTTGAATACGTTTGCTGGTAAAATAGTATATGCTATTTGGAATAGAAGTGGCTCAGCTGAATTATTTGCCTCACTGCGTTTGGCAAAACAAACGTTCAACTTTTACTCCTAGTAACATAATAAACTATAAGAACATCGAATATTTAGCTTAGAATGTTGAGTTTTTCACAACTATTTTAATAAAATGTATTTCTACAATCATTATTTATTATAATTTTCAAAATAAGCAGCAAATTTATTAAGCTTCTCCTCAAAGCCATAGATGGCACACTTGTGGGCATTTGGTGATTAAATCGATAAAAAACTTAAAAACGATTCTCACAGCTCTTGGAGCGTTTGATCGGTTTAAGACTACAAAGACTAAAAAATCCTTTGTTGAGGTAATTGCCCTTCTATCAAAAAGTGAAGTGGATTATTGCATGTGACATTGACAAACAATTATCAGTAGTTAACAGAGCGTTTAATGAAAATTTTAAAGATAAAATTCTGTGCATTCATTTTCTCCCGAGTTTTGATTTGAGCAGTAAAAGCTCGACAAAAAATAGAAAAAAAATCACTCGTCAGCCGGTAATTTAGAGTAGACTGCCATCACTTCCGTGACATCTTCAGCAAGTTCCGGTTGGTTTTCTTCTCTTCCGGAATTTGCAGGTGCTAGGAAAAGGTGGTAAAGTCATTTAATTTCATCTCGACGCTTCTTTTTGCAGCGCCAACTATCGATCTGTTTTGACCAATCGTTAATCTTTAAAGAGTGGACGAGGTTTTGTAAAAAGCTTTTACATAACACACTTCACAGAATTAACAAAGCATTGTTCTCTTACATAATAGCAAAAGAAGTGAAATAAAGAAAAACATCAATTTATTTGCAACATTAAGTTTCCACGATGAACACATTGAATTCACTTGTAATCCGACACTACAGGCATGCTTGATGAAAGTTTTCACCTTAACAATGACAAATTCAAAAGAAAAATGTTTTTGTTATCGTATTTTTTAAAGGATTTTCCGTAATAGGCAATTCCTTTGAATACCCTGTTTTGAAAAGCAAACGGAGCGGTGGTCGTGGGTAGATGAGCATTTACGATTGTAAGAAAATAAACGTTTTCGTTTATGGATTTTTCCTCACTACAGTTGGCATTGTTTTTCAAAATTTAACTTGAACTTATCTTTTACTCTTAAAATTTAATAAAAGTGTAAAGTATAAAAATCTTAATACTTTTAAATCGAAATGTGATTGATTACACCATAAACTGCTGTGTGTCGTCTTCTGACGACATTGACATCAAAAATAAAGGAAAATTGTTGTGCTGGTTTTGCAAAAAAAAATATGTAAAAGAAATTTACTTCAAATTTTTTTTTTTTTAAGTTTCTATTATTACATCGATTTGTCTTGAAAAGTGAATAAAAAGTCAAGGGTAAAATTGTTATGTTGTTATTATGCTTGTTGACGTGAGGGTACTTTGTAATAAGAACTCATTTTAAATGCTATTAATAATGTACGAAAAGCGTTGTATTGTAACAGCCACACGTCCTGYAGAAACATTTTTAAAATATTTTAAATTGCTTGTTGGATTTTACAAGAAATTTGATGTTTTGTTTACAAATACAATAGAATCATTTGTTTTGGAACATAAACTAAATAATAATAAATTAATGAATTGTTACTTTTTAGCCAAAGTAGATTTATTTTTTCAGAAATTGTCAGTAAAGTTGTTCTTTTCCAGACGCATATGTCATTAAATGAAATTGTTAGTAAGATAAAATATAATATATCAATAAATTATGTTTTGCCTTTTTTTGTGAGTATCAAAAAMCGATATTTTAAAGCAAAACGTGAGTTGAAAATGTAAAAACAACTGACACTGGGGTTTTCAGCACTCAATGGGTCAAGTGCATTGTCAGCTCAAATCGAATTCGCAATGTCTATATCAGTCATTTTGCCACCATCACAAATACATTATTAGCTGACCAAAATAACCTTCCTGTGTCCAAAATACTACACCACAAATTAAAATACATATACATTGTGTTTATTGATTAAAATTTCCCATTAGATTTTGTAATGTATATTTGAAATCACATCTCTCAGCCTTCAGATGTATTTGACATTAACACGTAACAGACAGAAAATCGGTAAGTTTGTAAGATGGGCGTCTTTGTCTTGAACACTACATATCTTTCTTGGATAATGAAATTAGATGTGCCATCTTATAAATACAAATTTAGGTAAATACGAGTAGATATAGTTTAAAAAAGAATATCACTACTTTACATTGTGATGATTTCTAATAAACTCAAAGAAATGCAGGAACGTAAAAAATTAC